GTGAAACTATATTTTCGTCTTCAAATCTTTGCAGTGCCAATACATCATAACCAAGTAAGAGTTCGCCATTTTCATGTGGTTATGTGTGTTCTGCAGACCCGGAGCTATCGTTTGATGCATATAAATGTGGAATTCCTCCTCAAATTGTGATTGTTTTCGTGGATCAAAGATACGTTGTCGAAGAGTGCGGGGGACGAGTTCGGTCCAAACGATTCCGAAGTTCGTGTTTAAGCTGAATTTTCGCCATGAAATAGCAGCTGTGTTGGAAAACAAAGACCACAGCAATGTAGTATGATCATTTTTGAACAAATTGGTATAGGTTTCATTGCACATCCACAAAGTTCGATTTTTTTACCCATGTCGTGCTAGACCTGGCGATCGGCCCAGTGTGCGCCGGCCGCCGCGGTCAAACGCGATGAAATGTCACAAAACTGTCATTGGCGGTCAGCGGGTGAACGTCATTTTGTTTTCTGCTACCGGGGACCATTCTCGGTAGCCAAGTGGATGAACGCTCTTATCGTGAGCTGACCGGGGGGGGGGGGGGAAGCTCGGTTCGAACCCTTCAGAGTGCCCGACTTTTTGGCTCCTGGTTGGAACGGTTTGCTATTGATGGCTGTGACCACATATTAGAGGAACAGTAAGAATCGCTTTAAATGGGGGCGTTAGCTGCCGCACTATACCCATAATCCCTAGTTCCCACGTCTCTAGACGATTGCCGTGCGAAACAATAGACACCAATCTGCTAAATCAAGGCCTTAATACTAACGTCTAACATGTTATACAAAATATAGCTCCGCGCACCTCGATGCACGTATGACATAAGTTCTATCGGCTGTCCCATTGCCACGCTTAAGAACTGCTTTAGCGCAATTGTTAGGTAGAATAATTGCCACCTTGAGACGCGAAAGTTAACTAAACTCGCTCAGCCGCGCGATGGTCCATGCTCCCACCCTCCCACCCGGCCTCACTCCCCAGCCCTCGCCAGCCGCCGCGCCGCGCCGACCCGAGATATGCCTCCGGGCTCGGCCCTCACCGCTGCGCTGACGTCACAGGCGGCCCACATCGCCTTCCAGCCACCGACCCAGACCGGTGTCATACGGTGTGGGTAGGCTGTGCCGCTTGACAAGTAAGTGAAGCGGCACAGTCTACCGGTACCAGACGGCTGCTGCCAATGCTGAGTCATAGGAACCCAGTGGATTAAGAGTTGTAGAACATCAATCTGCCCCCGAGTGTACCTAGGTAGTAATAGAAGCATCCTTTCTTGATGTCCACTGAAAATTTCAAGTTTCTGTCGTTTTTGGTTTCGGAGATATGACCTTGTTTTTCAGGTCATGTCATGACCCAAATGACCAATTCTCAACGTCTTGCGTTGGCTATCGGCCTTGTGAGCTTTTGACGCATTGATTTCGGCCTTTTTTGCCAGTCTTACCTCCCACCTATTATGGAACATGTTGTTCGACAATGTACAGATGTCAAGGGCAGGGTCAAGGTCAACCTAGGTCATCTAAAATAATTGCGTTTTAGGCAAGCTGAATTTACTTTTCGTGAAGTTTTTTGACTACATTTTTGGTAAAAGCTTCTCAGATCATGATTTCATGCAATATGGACACAAACAATCGGTGCACACATCAGTATACACACAGACACACAAACACATATCATCGACCTTGACCTAACTTGACCTGAAATGACCTCAGCAGCAAAAACCTGGTCGGGTAGTGTGACAAAGAGTTTCTAGCTGGCTTGGCACCAGAAAACGGCATCGTCATCGGTATATGATATGCAGCGCACTTGATATCCAACGGTGACCCAAAACAGCAACATTTTTAGTTTGACCTGACCGGGAAGGTCAATGACTAACCTGAGAAGGTAAAACTGGGTATCATTGCATTCGTCTCTTCCCAAAGAATCTTTTTGGTCTTTACCGCGAAGCTTTATCTCCTACAGGAACGACATGGCGCGGGGGGTGGCACCCCCCCCCCCCCCATGTGCGTTCTAGGATGGGAAAATGGCATGTGCGGCGAGGGTTAAAGGGAAATTATTCGAGTAGGCTGACGAAAGTAGCGACTAGCAGTTGGATCGAGCTTTGGAGGGCCATCATTTGAAAATTACGCAATTTTGAGACGAATGACTTCGGACTGAGCCTCGGCCACCTTCCTCTACACGTTTCACTGAATAACTTCAAATTTTGAAGAAAAAAAAACTGAGAATACCTTTAACCCTCCCATAGGCCCGGTCGCAGAAGAGGGGGACACACACACACACGCACGCGCACACGCACACACACACACACCGTACGTCGTTTCCATACTCAGGATGTTCAAATCCTTCTCATGCACGCCGCAACCCTCGATCCGGGCTGGACAGGCAACTAAATCTCATGCGGGCTGCTCCCTTGGAGCGGTACCGCTGCTCCCAAGGGAGCACACCCGTAGCCGGGTGCAGAGAGTAGGGGAGAGTGGGACAAAGCGGCCACCCGGGGCAAAGCGGCCACCCATCGTTTTAGCCCTTCATAGCTGGCGTTAGTTCCAATTTATGGTTTCCAATTACACTTCTCTTCACGGTCGTTCGAATGAGCCAGACCGGGGTTTCAGGCCCATCACCACTGTTCTGTGAAAGACGGCAAAGCATTTCTTGCCAGGTTACCAGTTCTATGTTTACAATTTTTAAATGTTATGTTATTCCATAACCGTTTGGAATTTTTATAAGCGTTCTTGTCCATGCATTGCATGGTTATCGTACATGTATTCTACCAAGTTTAATGTTTTTTACCCCACTAATAGCTAAGCTGGAATATTTTTGTCTCGGACAATATGCACGGGGCAAAGTGGCCACCCCCCAATTGGCCATAAGTTGTTTCCATCTGGATAAAAACATTATTTATATTCAAACGTGTCGTCATGCATTCATCTTGGCCAGTTTTCAGTTGCAAGAGTCAACAAATAATGCAATTAAATGTTTTTTTTTCATGAAAATCCTTTCTTTGTTTACCTACAGGTAGAAGATGATAAAGTAAACATCAATCCTCGCTTAACCCGCGACCGCCTGGGGGAGGGGTCGGATCCGACCCCCCCCCCCCTCCGTTTTTCTTGAATAACTCATGAACCGCTTGCGTTATCAACTTGAAACTTGGCATACCTTCTCCCCCATCAATTTGACGTCTCCTGTGCAATTTTTAAGAAAAAATTTAAAAAATTTTGAGATATATCGATTTTAGTGATGTAACTACATGGCGTTTTAGGTCAAAAAGTGGTAAATGTTTAAAAAATCGCCAAAAATCGAGGTTTTAAGCAAATTGCAAATTAAGGACATGAGAAGACGCAGCTCAACGAGTTCTTTAAAATGGTCATCTCGGATTTTCCATAAAATGCGTTTTTCACCCCTAAAAATTCAAAAAACTATATTTGTTGGAAAACAGCTAATAAAATCCAAAATTTTGAGAATTTCCACAAAACCGGAATATATGTTATAGAGCTCTATTAGAACATTAGATGTCCCAAATTTCAACTTTCTATCTCGATTTTTGACCAACAAATTGTAAAAAATAGCTTCAGACTGCATAGGGCATGGTGACGTCATAAGCATTTTCGCGAATTAGAAGCACTTCTGAACATCGCATGTGAAAACAAATGGCACCACTAGATTCCTGGGACAAAGCTCCTCAAGAAAAGTGCATTTTATGTCAAAAATAAAAAGTTGAAAAATTGACTTTTTCTTCGCCCTCGTTTAGTTATGTATGGCATAAACGATTTTTTATGCTTTCAATGCACACTTATCACCAGCACAGTGACTTGGGAGTTGGGGTCACATATAACCATTACCATCGGATTTGGCGTGAAAAATAAGCCATAAAACATGTGTCGCACGCCCATGTAGCAGAAAGTGAAAACCGTGACCTTTCGTGACCTGACCTGACCTTGACCCGTACTTAGTATGACCCCTATACGCACATGGTACCTTCACTAGGTCTTTGAGGTCATTTGTGGTGAGTTTCGAGCAGCAGCTATCGATTCCGCTGTCCGTAAGCCTAATCATGCAAAACCCCAGAATTTGACCTTTGACCTGACCTTGACCCGAAAGTTGACCTCAATCTTAAAATCTTAAGAGTGCTTTGGGAAGGTCTCGTAGAGGCCTTTCGAACGCCGCCTCGCGGGGCTCGATACGACCATTGGTTCTCGAGATAACAGGGGGGGGGGTCGGATCCGACCCCCCCCCCAGGCTGTCGTGGGTACGGAAATAGCCCAGGCGGTGCCGGGTTAAACCTTGTCACCATCAAATACCCTAGTCGTACATGAGGCAACTATTTTGTTTCACATATCGGGACTTGAGAAGACGCTGGTGGCCGCTTTGCCCCAGGGTATGGGGCAAAGTGGCCAATATGCATAGGTTTAAAGTTTTGTCAATATCTTCTTGACACCTTTTTTTAAACCCCACATCTGTTCTCCGGTGAATTTCCGGGAAGCACGAAAGATCTCTTTTTAGAAGTGTCCAATCGTCCGATCCTGATCAAATTTGTGTGTTCGTAAGCTTGCTCTGGCATTGCTTGATCTGCCAAGACAGACAAACTTGAGAAAAATCGAGTGACTGTACCCTTTTTGAAGGTTTCTAAACAACTTGTATGAACTTCACGGGAGGACAAATGTGGGGTTTAAAAAAAAAGGTGTCGATATGTGAACACCTTTGGAAATAAAACGCAGTTGAAATAAAAGGCAACTTAATAGGGATCACATTGGTATAGAAAGAATCTTTCCAAGCTTAATAATCAAGCGTTGGCATCGTGAGAAGCGTTAGGGTGGCCGCTTTGCCCCACTCTCCCCTACTTGAGGGCTGGTCGGCTTGTCCACTCGGACGGGCTCAGCCCCGGTGACTCTCTAGGGTCCCTGCCCAGACGAATGCCTTCCCCTAATTCCTATCATCCTTCCGGCTCTGCAATGGTTTCAATGGACCGAAAGGGTTTACTCCAACAAAACAACACAACAAAGAGCGCTCGCCTTGCTGACCTTGTTAAGGGCGTACACGCTGATTTTTCCGGCGCCGATGTCGCTCAGGTCTCTTTCTGCGTCGTACTTAAGGTCGTTGGAAACGGATACCCAGATGGCTTTTTTGCGGCCTTTCAGGTAATTCTCGTAGATCAGTCCTGCGATGGTGCGTCCTTTGCCGACACCCGCACCGTCACCTGTCGACAGACAGCGGCTCAACGGTCAGCTCCGCGCTGACACACTGCAGAGGCCTAGCCAACCAGGCATCAGCACAAATGCCTGGATCCCGGGTCCGCTCGGACCAAGGCCGTTTTGCATTGGGTTTTATCAGGATTCGGATTGGGTTTTGACAATTGTTATACAATATATCCGTCTCAGCCATAACGAGAGCGCGCCGCCGTCTGGCATTGGACCGCGGCGCGGCCACTGCCAATGCAGCGCGGCCACTTACCGACTAGGAAGCCAGCGCGAGTGCCGTCCTGCAGAAACTGCGAGTGCGCCTGACAGGAGTATACGACGGCCTCCAGCTGAAGCGCCGACAGCCGGCCCTGGCTGATGAGCTCCTCGGGCAGCGACAGCCGGTACCACACATCGGTGGGCGGAACGCTGGCCAGTGAGGCTGTCTCCACCACCGGATCTGGGTGCTTCCGGCCCAGCTTCACTGCCGGCAGGGAGGCCGTCAGCACACACCCACACCGAGAGGAGCAGGAGGTAGGGCCGCCAGGAGACAGAGAGAGGATAGGGTAAAGCAGGCTTCCTGTTCCTCTCGGATATAAGTGTTTTTGTTCCTCTCGGTAAAACAGGTGAAACGGAGACTCGTTGCATCAGGACCCGGTTCCAATCCGTTTCCACTATTCCACAACCCAGTTCCAGCGTTTCTTGAAATTGAAGGCTCTAGACTCGCTGATTTTCTGTTAATTTTTCCCTTGCATGAGCCTCATGGACCTTCAGTAAAAAAACGTCCCCCCAGTATCGACGGACAATCGTCCCAGACACCCGATTATCTTTTTGGGTTAAACTTTTACCCAGCCTTTTCTCAGACACCCGATTATCCCTTTGGGCTAGCCAGTCTTCTAGCCAGCTTTTTTCACAGAGTGCTTGGATTTACCAAGCGCTTTCTCCATGTCTCCATTGGCGACGGTTGAAATGCAGAAAGGCGGCCCTGATTGGGGTCTACCTGTAACGCTCCTCTTCTCCTTAAAAGGAACTTCTTCCGCCCGCCCTTGACGATGAGAACTGGGACTCCATATCAGGCAACGTCCTTCTGTCTGCTGCCAGCTTAGAGCATGCCGATTGCGCGACTACGTACCGTAAAGTGGGGCTATTTGAGACATTGGGGCTATTTGAGACAGTAAGGTAATGGTATAGTAAAATCGCTGTAAAATGAAAACCGTTTGATGTTTTTTCGTCATTTTTGCTTAAGCTGATGTGGAATTGAACAATGAATGCTCTGAATAACCTTTTTGAAAATTTCGAAAAGTTCTGAAAGAAATTTGCAATAAAATACGAACTACAGAAAAACGCACAATTTAAGTTGCTCGAAAAGGACCCCTACCTGCAGCTTAAAAAAGTTGAAGTTTTAACAGCTTCGCCACTGTATCTATCGCTACTACCTTTTTGCTTATAGGTTAAGCAAATTTTTCATGAAAATATTATACATTGTTAACGTTACTGCCGATTGCGTAACCCATTGTCTCAGAATCCCGATGATGCCCACCTGGTCAAACCTCACCGATATGCCTAATAACTACTGATAATGGTGATGCCATTGCACCCGAGAAGACTTATCACCATCTACTTGAAGTGCATCGAACGTTCGACATGAGCAACACCGCTGAATCGGTCGTGGTCATAAACGTGCAGAGGGTTCATGTTGGGTACTTTTAGCAGCAAGCAATATTTACATGTTCGTAGTATAGCATAATGACCCTTTAGCTGGTGACCAAACTAGTTATTCTGATGAATATGTGCTTACAATGTGCTTCATCAGTCACTGACTCATTCGACAATCAACATATGTCTACCTTGGTTGACCAAAAAACACCATCGAATGTTACAACACATGAACGTACTGTTAGGTGAGCCTATCCAAGTACTTGATGTGGTAGGGTAACCGGCCAATTGATACGGCATGCAGCGATCGAGGAAAATCGGCATAAAATCAAAACCGTTTAACATTTTTCTGTTATTTCTTCGCATGGAGATGTACAATGGAACAAACAATCATGCAGACCATTCACTCAATTTTTATTTTTTACTGAAAATATATATATTCATCGTACACTTCAAACATGGTTAAATTACAGACACTTTACAAAAAAGCAGAGACATTGACAGCTTAACACAGCTGGCACGCAGGAACATTAGTTTGCCCCGCGTGTAAAGTAGTAAGCCAGCTCTGGATCGTCCATATAGTCGCGGCTAGTCTCGACCTCGAGTCCTTGCGCCCTGAATTCTGATTTTATTTGTTGGAACAGTTCACGGTAGCGTGCTAAACGAGCGGATATGCTGGGGTTATCAACTGCTGGAGATGGTGGAGAGCGACTATAAGTGTGGCTATCGGCAGTGATGGGTGATGGTGTTGTGTCAGAATTCATGCTAGGCGCTGAGGATGGTTGTGTGATATCAGTGATGGCATTGTTGGCAGAGTGTCCTGAAATTGATTTTCCGGAGAGTGTGATTGAAGCCGCAAGGACGTCACTATTTCAAAAGACGTCGATATCGGTGCGGAGCCTAAGCCACTGAAGATCCCTTAAATCTCTTGAAATTAGCGATTTTCACTGTCAATTTTTAATAATAGCACCTCAAGGCACCTCAAATGATCATATATAGACACAAAGTAATGCCAGTTTACCCCTAGTACAATACAAACTTCAATTATTCACCACAAACACAAAAACAACACTTTGAAGATGTTAAGTTCTTGTCCATGATCGTACACAACAGTCAACAACAAATATGCTTCAACAAAAATCAGCCGAAGAGCCAACGGCTATCTCTAAATATTGACGTCATAGGAGGGATATTATATCGAGCAAGAGGAGTGACGTAAAAAACAGACGTCCAAACAAAGAGATGGAAAACAGTTAGGAAAATTAATTTCCATAGCTTCCTGTTATGAAATTCAATTAAGAAAACTCCAAGGTAGACGCTGAATTTTTCTTGGCTGTAAAAAATGTGAAATCATTGTGCACTTTTCAGTTTTGTACCGACGTCGATTAAACGGGAATGACAAGGTCAATCGACGTCCCCAACATTGCGTGTATTTTTAAGCCAAGGACGGCATACTTAAAATAAAACTGTTAAAATTTGGTAACTTTATTTTAATTCAATCGAATAAACACAAACTTTTTCAACAACCAGTATCAACATATGCAAAATTAACTACCTTTGAAGTTCATGCTCGAGGGGCAGCGCTATCCCGTTACTGTGACCTTCTGAGATCTGCTTTGGGCATTCGGAGGCTTGTGTGGGGCGAGTGTAAAAACCGGATGTTCACAGTTCAGTATCCGCTTTATTTCAGTTTTCACTATTAAAAAAGTAAAAGTTAATGTTGGAAACTTTTGAGGGTTAGGGCACTGATCATTAGTGGGCCCCCTCTGTCTAAAGGCTGGCTATAGAATGAAGAGCATCAAACACGAACAGTAGCGGCGGAACACCTTCAATTAAGGGGGGGGGGGCACTGCCGACTTTTGGTCCCATTCTTTCCATACAACTACCATAGGGCTAACGTTAAAATGCCAAAATCAAAGGGGATCACGGTGCCCCGGTGCCCTCCCCGTTCCGCCACCTATGAACACGAAAGCAAAATCTAAGGCATTTTGGAAAAATGAGTATGCCCCGCAGCGTCCGATAAAGTTACCACCTTCCAGTGGGTCAAGCCAACGGGGCCCAAGTCTATAATGGCACTTAACGATAGCACTAACCTTGTCTCACTTTTCTTGAAGTCTGTTCCGAATGGTTTCGGCCACAGAATGGCTGCACTGAGGTCGTTTGGCATGTGCAACTGTAATTAAAGCCACCTGAGGCGCCCTGACACCAGGCTGAAGCTGGGTAGGAAATGCTTCGTCTTTGCAGATACCACTGGCCGCTGATTCTCGAGTGCCTAAACCGGTAGATGTCGTGGCAAAATTTGGTGTGATAATTTGGACCTTACCGCAGTCAGCGTACGCTAAAGCCCTAATAAAGAAACGCCCCACCCAGAGCTTCTGGATTCTCGTTCCAGTCCACCGTTCCTTCACCCCAGCCCGCCGCCGCGCTCCCTCACATCAGCCCTCCGTTCCCAACTTGACGAGCGTTTGGGCCTTAGTTAGCTGTAGGCTTACTGTATAAATCCATCGAGACAGCCCGTCTCGGTGAGCTTAGTTGGCGAACTACTGCCTTGGGAAGGGTTTCTGGCGGATCGCTGTCCCAATAGGTTTAGATGCGACCGACTGTCTCTGAATGTTTAAGCGGTCTCCTCCCGCTGTGAGCTAGTTTCAGTTGATATCTGTCTCAGAAATACTTTTTAAAGGAAGGTTAAACTGAAATCGAACGTAAAATGAACAGAGGAAATGGTAACAAGTTACCTCATTGAAGAATAGCGCTCGCCTACTTCAAAAGGTTTGGCACCGTTCTTCAACATCTGATATGCGATCGGGTTATGGCACAATTTTTCCCATTGGAGTTTTTTTTTCTAATACAGCAATACGAAAAGCGTTACATCGTCCACTGGCGGATCCAGGGAGCGGGCATTTAAAGCAAATGTTTACTCTCCCTCCCCCTGGCCCCTGCATTGCCCGAAATAGACAAAACGTATCTTATGTTTCCTAATAATAACACTTTTATCGGGATTTTTTTTTTTTGCTTTATACTGTTCAGCAGTAGGTCCGTAAGGAATCGAAATCCGAGGAGTTTTTGGAGTTTGGACACTTGGGGGGGGGGGGGGGTATGTCCCCTACAGCGTCGAAAACGCCTTTCTGGATCCGCCTATGACATCATCTCGACTGGGATCTTGCCCCCCACGCCAAAATCGAATCCGCCGCCACTGATTGTGGGAAGAAAAGCGATGCCACTGGGAAACGGCTTGACGGAATGAAATCGGTGTGGTACCATTTTGCAGAGAGATGTACGTGTAATGATAGGAAAGCAAATAAAAAGTAATGATCCGCACCATTTCCTTAATAATGAAAAATTAATTCAAAAATGTATTTCGCGCGGAGCGCGATGTCCTTTACAACATCAAAACGTATTGAAAACGCTGATAAATCGCTATGAAACCTACATATTCGAAAAGAGCATTCTTTTCTGACCAATATCCACCCAAAATATTATCGAAAAGTCAATAAACTTTTGTGAAAATGACTCAAATATACGACCGTGTTTTGTTAACGTTACGGGTATTTTTCGACAAAATCCGATCAATGGCTTATGGCCGGCAGGTCATACAACTTTTGACAATAGCTATCAAAGCATGGGCTGCAATGCACCGCCCGCAAAGGGGAATTCCAAACACTTGCGCTTACCAGCAAACAGTACATTTTTGTACTAGGAATAACTCAGCAGCTACAGGGCCGATTAAACTGAAACTTGGACAGTGGGTGGAGGGGGCAATAACCCGGCGATGTATGGTCATTTGTGACAGGTAGGGTGGATCGATTGCACGTGCGCACGTGAGGGGTC